GATGCTTTTAAAAGTTCCTGGGTTACAGTATCGCAATACTTTTTCAATGTACCTAAAAATAATTTTTGTTTTCTGCCTCGGACTACTTAAACTCATTTTTTCGAGCCAGGAATGCATTAATATATGAAAAAAAGCATCTTCATCGGGTCGCCTTTATCTATTATTTCACCGTTTGACACGCTTGGTACTGTATAATTGAGGATGAATAATAATAATAATATACAGTGGCCATTAAAAATATTATATTCAAAACAAGCTATCAATTATTGGAGAATAATACAAGCTCTAAAGTTTGGAAAAATTCCAGTAACGATTGAGAATTCCAGAACTGCCATTCTGTCCAATCGCGGGCGCCTTTAAATCCCCTAGCAGTTCCCCGTAACTTTGTCCCCAAAATGTCCAACTCGCTCCCCTATTTTCCCAAAGTAAGCCGCTAAAAGTATCCCCGTACCATTTACGGGCTGCTGTCAACTACCACTGACGAGGAGTACAATCGCCGAGCAAACCCGCGGGTTCCTCGGGCGAGCATTTCCTGAAACGCGTGTGTCAGGTTTAGCGCTGCTTCGGACAGTTCGCGGGTACCCGTGGTCCTAATGTCGCAAGACAGGTGCTCGGAGCTGAACTCCGTCCCTGCGGACTCTTGCACGGCGAACAAGAGCGAGGCCAAAGGTGTGACCGCCGACGAGAACCACGAGGACGCGATCAGGGCCTTCACGATCAGAAAACCCGGAGCTACTCAGCGTCGCTCTAGATCGGAAAAGTGCTTTCTTCTTTACTCTATGATCGATGTCCCGTGGGGTAGCGAATGCTTACCGCGGCTTCGTTTCTTCCCTTTTAACGCGGCTTTGACTGTTCCTCCGAATCAACCGGGTCGCCAAAGAGAGCCTGCACTGTTAAAAGTATTCATGATAGTCGTACACCTTTAGTACATAATGTTGTTGCATTCATTTGCACCGAGCGAAAAATTATCACTTTCTAGAAGAGAAAAAGAAGCTCTTGGATCAAGTAAATCTTTATTACCGGTAATTATCTTTATTACTATAGGCAAAGTGAAATCGAATGAATTTAGGGACAATTACAAACGTTGCTCAATTTTTTTTAGTTCAACTTCCTCGAGGGTAATTTACTCATCTGTATATTTTCCATGCATAAGCGTGTTGGAATGAAAAGTTGATTCATTTACGAAATTAAGAGTTTGGAAGAGGTAAAGATATCCTCAAGAACTAATTATATTTAGGGCTGTTGTATTTGACCGTTCACGGAGGGTTTAGGTTAAAAAGAAGTTTTTAAATGTTTTCACCTTGGCTCATTTGTAAAAGCTGGACATTATTTGTTTATTTATTCTTTTCTTTCAAAATGTACGTAAGAATTCGGAAGAACGGCAAATCTGAAACAAAAAGTTAAGGTGGCTGTGGAAATTGTAAAAGATTATTTATAAACTGAGAGCACGGATTTTCGATGAAATACAAATTACGTTTCTAATAAAAAAAGAAAGCCAATCGAAGTAACTTTTTCAATGCTTTTTGCACTTCTGTCGTTGCTACTTTTTGAATGAAAATTTCATCAACAATCCGTACCATCGGTTCTTAAATAATCTTTTCTAGTTTCTAAAACAACCTTGACTTTTTGTTTTAAACTCGTCGTTCTCCTAGAATCACGTACATCGTAAAAAGAAAAATCAGAAACTTCCAGCCTCCATAGTTCCGCCATTCTGAAACATTTTAACACTTTTTTTTATCGTAAGTTCTCCGTAAAACGTCAAATAAAACAGACCCGTAAGCAAATATTTCGTATTACTTTTCATTCCCTTTTAAACCCACTTAGATTAAAACGCATTGCGCAGCCTACTAACTCCCTTAAAAATGAATTGCTACACATTTATTGTATATATTTCCAAACAAATGAATAATTTTATAACGTCGCGCGATAATCTTGCGGAATTGTACAGCAAACTTCCAACACTTGTGTGCTAAATTTGTAACGTACGTGCTGGTAATTGTGAAAGTGGTCCAAGTAAAAAATGTATTTGAAAAATGGGTTTATCCCATATTTTATGCTGCATACTCTTAAGTTACAATAACGTGAAGTTTTCAAGAAAACAAAACAAAAATTACTTGGAGCAGTTTCAGAATTACCCATTAATAAATCACGGGCTCATATGTTTATGAAACATAAGTATTGTAAAATGCTTTAAAGTCAGAATATCCTATGACCTCGAAAAAATGCGTATAAAATTGCAATTTTGCAATATTTTTTTAACAGTGTGACGCACTCGGGGAAACGAGCTCGGATAAGTCATCGCGCGGAATTGGGACACCGATGACGCAGTCCGATCGCTCGGACTCCTCCTGGGCTGGCTTTTTCTCGGTTTCTTCCCTTCGATCGTCGTCGCGGCCCTCGATGTGTCTTTGCTTCCTTCCTTACGCAGAAAAAGAAACGTTGCGAATACGTAACCGCAGTCGAGCGGTTTCGCTCCATCACTTATAAGGACTTCGCGCGGTTCCTATGAAATTTGTTCAAGGTTCAGAATTGTTTTTCGACATTTGATGTCGGAGCTTATTATGAAAAAATTACCAAATGCGTCCTGGTCGCATAAATCGTACCCCATTCATGTTGTGCTGTTATTTAATGTTTGTGACATACAGGGAGAAAAAATCACTTATAAGCACTTTGCGCGGTTCCTATGAAATTTGTTCAAGCTTCAGAATTGTTTTTCGACATTTGATGTCGGAGCTTATTATGAAAAAATTACCAAATGCGTCCTGGTCGCATAAATCGTACCCCATTCATGTTGTGCTGTTATTTAATGTTTGTGACATACACTGAACAAAAAATCACGTATAAGCACTTTACGCGGTTCCTATCAAATTTGTTCAAGCTTTAGAATTGTTTTTCGACATTTGATGTCGTAGCTTATTATGAAAAAATTACCAAATACGTCCTGGTCGCATAAATCGTACCCCATTTATGTTGTGTTGTTTTTTAATGTTTGTGACATACCCTGAGAAAAAAAATTGGCTGACTCAAAGAAATATGCATTGTGAGAACGGAATTGTTTTAAATCGATATCAATTTTTCTTCTGAACAAAATAATTATTTATTGCAATTATATATGATTCAGGCAACGATATGTATGTCAACAATATATTTGTTTTAGTCAACTTATTTTTTTTTTCTCAGGGTATAGTACTAGATCGTAGCCCGTGTACCTTTTTTGTTATTCAGCACGTGTATTAACGTCTAATACTAGATGTCACAAATATTAAATGACAACAAAAACATATATGGGGTATAATTTAGGTGATCGGTATACATTTGGTACCTTTCCCCTACCTCATGCGGAGACGGAAGTCTTGAGAATGTGAATGAGAACAACCAATTGGCTATGTCAAAATGGGCCTTACGATAATAGGATCAGTAATAAAGGAAAAAAATGATTTAGTTTAATTATTGGAATAAACGATCGAAATATGATTCGTTCTAAATCATTGAGGTTTTTTACTTTATATTTTAGAGATGTAATCCATATGAAAGAAGTGACACATAGTAAGACATGTTAAATGGATTTAGCACGAGCAGGATTTTGAAAAATGTTGACATGAAATAAATGAACCTTGCTCTGTACACTGTTGGTACTGTTAAAGAGCTTGAAAAATGGTTTGCTTCCGAGAAGACGAGAAATGTAACACTGCCTTCTCGGAAGTACAGATTAATCTTCATTCTCCGTGTGGGGCGATTAATTTATCGCATTGCGATATTTCTCCTTATTTTGCAGAAAAAGCTCTCCAAGCGGGATGTACGTGCTTATAAATGGAATCCATATTTTTCGTATAAAAAATATCTCCTCTTAGTGGCTGGAAGCGTATTATTTTTTTTATTTTTTTCTTTTTTATTATTCTGTTGCTCCGTAACATATTTGGACTGAACAGCATAATTACCTCCACCGACAGCCACATCAGTTACCCAAAACATTTAATTCGTTGGTTGAAAATCAGCAAAAAATGCTTAAAAATCAATACTCGCTGCTCTCCCACAAGTACAACCACAGAGCTTAATTCAATGTCTCGTATTTCAGACCAAAGGTTATGCCAATAAGAGACAAATACTTTATACATCCATTTTAAAAACTAAAAATAACTCGATTTACATCCTTTCAATAATCTATTCCAATATAAGTATCAGCAAAGCCTACAAGTTATTATCTTTTTATTCTTTTAATCATCGACACAAAGACTCCTCGTTCCTCCGCATCATCCCTCTTATTAGAAAAAAAATCATCGCTTGACTGTAAAATGTGGTTGTATCGATGTTGTGAAAGAATCGTGAAAACTAGCGTGCAAAACATCAAGACAGATTCTTAGGAAACTAGGAAGATATGAAATTATGCCCCGCGAAGTAAATCAATAAAACGATGAGCTTCCATTTTTAGTACGCTTGATTATCGCTTATCAGGATCGTCGAATGTAAACTCTTCCTCCAAATTTGATTGGTTCTCCCATATTACCATCATGCTTTCTTGATAAACGAGTGTTTGGAAAATAATAACATCGTCCGCAGTACCAGTGGGTGGAATGATCGATATCTCGTCAATGGAGTACATTATTCACAGCTCCTATTCTTAGCGAACGTGGCAAGGAGTACTAAATATGGGAGACCACTGCACAAAATGAATAACCGATGGTCAATGCTTTAATCGCAGCAGCGGTAAATATAGGTCATGTAAATCCGTACACGATAAGCTGCCTTTGTAATGTCTTATCTACTGCTACTGGCAATCGAATATTGCAAGATACAGCTCACACCCCAAGAGCAACAAGAACGTCTTGCGCGAAATTGAACATCGGCTGCTCATTCTAGTCGTTTTCACGTGGCTAAAGAAATTAAGCCGGAATAATTGGAGTGATAAGAAATGTCGCGACCATTGCGTAGGATTTTGTCTCGCGAGAGACCCCGACTGCGAGGCTTCGGTCGGCGGTAATTAATTGTACAATTAATTTCAGTGATTGCGAGGCTTCTGGAAGCTTTCCTGGTAACTTGGCGGGTAGCTCCTCGAACAGCAGTTTGTCGACCCGAAGTTTGGATAGTCCCAGCACCAGTCTGGAACAGGTCCATCCTGCTTCCTCGGCTGCGAACACATCGACTTCCTGGGACAGCGATGTGGACGTCGAGCCCGATCCTCCCGACTGGAGTCAGGGTGTTGCCGAAGAGGTTCTCTCACGACTCGGTAATTCCGAGAAGAAGAGACAAGAAGTCATTAACGGTTAGCAGATCTGAAGACGTATGCTAATTAGTTAGAAAATCTTGGCGAAACGGTTAAGGTGAAGTGAAACACGTCGACGAACTTGATCGACGTCGATAAAGAAGGTTTTTCCAAATACCTTTGTTGCCGACGTTCGTTCTTATATTGACAACTGTGTCGAATTATATTGGGTATTGAACCAAATGGCATACTTCACCTGTCGTTTTCGTACATTAATTATAAAGAAATCGAAGTAAATTCATGCTTTCTGGGGCCCTAATTGACTGCAGAGGGACCCCCTGCGCCATCTGTGGTTTCCAGGTCAATTAAATTTTCACTCCGAGACCTCGTATTCCCATCGTTTTGGCATAGAAGCGCATACAACACTTTTTCTGCCTTTATCCCGTTCAAACGCGAGTTTATCGATTACCAGAGTGTTCTAAATTGTCGTAAAATTGTCCCGACCCTTTTGATTCTCACATCAGAGCCTTCGATAATTGTACATCGATCGAAATATGAGAGCTCGACGCCATTTTGGTTCTAGTCAGGGCTTAGTTAAAATATTAAAAAAAAAATCCAAATTTGAATGTGTCAGGACAATTCTTAGATGATCAGGAGTGATGTGTCATAGTTTCGGACAGTTTGGTCTAATACCCTTAAAAAAAAGTGTTGTATTCGAATCGTCTGATTTGAAGGGGGTTTCACTTCACCTTAAGATGACGCGAAAGGCGCCTAGAAAATTAATCGTTGATAAAAAAAAATTCGGATATATACCAGCTGACCGATAAACTGCTTGCCATGCTACCGACATTTTTATTTATGCTGTTCGTTATTCTTTACAATGCGAATTACACGAAATGGCATACTCCGTATATCACTTTACTGGAATGATTATGAAGACATCTAAGTCAATTTCAATAAATCGGAATAATTTCTTTCTACCCAATAGCGCTTATGTTTCTCGGCGCCCTTCACGTCGACTTAACGTTGTTATCGAGGGAATTTATGTAATCGAAATATTCAGATCTTTATGAAACTTTGCGAAGAGAAGATCCAATATATAGGATATTTCAAGGACTTATAACAATTACCTTCAGAGGTAAATGACTGACGTTAAATGTGTGTTATAAAATATTTTCCATGTACGTTCTTAAACAATTGCTCAGGGTAATTAAGAACTTGTTGTAGAACCTAGATCGCGATAGAGGTCCGTACTTATACCTCATTTTTACTGTGAAAAGATATCTTTTATTTGTACTTTTTTAATACCTAATAGCCATCTTAACACAAAACGTAAGCTTTGAGTAATAGATGTGAGTATATACAGCCATAGACTCTTGTGAAGGTCTAGATATAGATAAAAGCAAAAATCCACGATTCCTTCTGACCAGTTGGTTCACCCGTAAAAACCACTCTTCATTGGAATATAAAATATAGTATATTCAAAAGAAGCCCCGGCGTTAACGAGCGAATTAACTATAATCCCTGTAATTGGCAATTAAAAATATGTTAAAGAAATGATGCAGATAAATCGTTCTCGTTATGAGGATAAAAGAAAACCTCGATTTCGCGTAAATACCTTATCTACATAACAGTTAACCTTTTTATTAAATACTTACTGAGAAAAAAAAAATTCGATTACTAAAGGACCACCCTCGATAAAATCCTGATTTTACCTTTTATGAAAAATGACACACTAATCACAGGAATTATGTTTGATCCGACAGAACTGTTCCATACCGAGCGCTCGCACGTTCGAGCCTTGAAGGTCCTGTCCCAAGTTTTCCACAAGCCGCTGCTGGAGTCCCAGGTCCTTCCTTTGGATCAAATCCAGCTGTTGTTTTCGAACCTGGACGAAATGGTGACGATCCATTCGCGGTTCAACCAGGCAATGAAACGTAAGAGGAAGGAGAATCCATGCGTCGGCGACGTGGGTGACCTGCTCCTGGAGATGTTCGACGGCGAAGCCGGAGAAGCCTTCGAGAGAGCCGCCTCGATTTACTGCGCCAAGCAACAGGTCGCGCTGGACGCGCTGAGAGACCGTCGTCGCAAGGATCCGAAGTTGCACTCCTTCCTGAACGAGGTCGAGGCCAATCCCCTCTGTCGAAGGCTGCAGCTCAAGGATCACATCCTAACCGGGATGCTCAGACTCACCAAGTACCCCCTGCTCTTCGAGAATCTCGCAAAGTACACCCCGGATAGCCTGGAGAAGGAGAAGGCGGCCGTGTTGCGGAGTCTGGAGCGCAGCAAGGAGATCCTAAGCCGAGTCAACCAAGCCGTACGCGAGGCCGAGGACTACCAGCGGCTCGCCGACCTCCAACGCACCATAGACAGGACCGGCTTCGACAAATCGGACCATCCGACCGTGCAGGAGTTCAAGAACTTCGACATCACCAAGCGAAAGCTCGTGTACGAGGGCCCGCTCCAATGGCGAGTCGTCAACCGGGCCAAGCCCGTGGACCTGCACGTCGTCCTCCTCGACGACACGATATTCCTGCTGCACCGCCAGGACGAGAAGTACCTGCTCAAGTTCATCAACACGAACCAGGGCAACTCCACCCTGAGCCCCGTCGTCAGGGTGTCCACGGTCCTCGTGAGGCACAACGCCGTGGACAAGAACTCCCTCTATCTGGTGAACACCTCGCAGAACGGGGCGCAGATCTACGACCTGGTGGCGGCTTCCCCTGCGGAGAGGAAACTCTGGTGCAAACATATCTCCGAGGCCGCCGAGGCGTACAAGGCTCGCGATCGCGAGGACAGAAGGCCGACCCCTCCTACCGTGTTACCCGAAGAGCCCGCCCCACCTGCCGAGGAACCTCCCGTGTCGGAAACGACGACTTCCGCCGCGAATCCGGAACTAGAAGAAGAGGAGACGCCGGAAGTCCCAGCGCCGGCATCTCCTCTTGCCACGACGACTGCCGCCACGACGACGACCGCGTCTACCGCGCCGACGACGCCGACGACCTCGACTACTCCGAGCGAGCAAACTGAACAACCACAAGCTGAGTCGATCACGACAGGTACGGACGATTTTAAGTTACAAGGTGACGTCAAACTTAGAAATTCATAGGTATCTGTAATTAAGGTAAAGTGAAATCCCTCGAGAAATTTAATCGACGTCGGTAAAAAAGATTCTTTTAACTACCTACCTTCCCGACGTTCGTATTTATATTGGCAGCTGTGTCATATTGCACGGAATGACACAATCTATGTGTCGTACAAATGATTGTAAAGAAATCGAAGTAAAACTCAAGAAATCTCCTGGATTCGTGATTTTTTATGCAGAGTGCCACCCTGCGCCATCTGTAGCGTTCAGTGCCAACTATATTTTCTCTTCAAGACCTCGTGTTACCTTGGTTTTAGTACAAAAGCTTATAAGATACTTTTTTACCTTTACCATGTTTCTGGATTACTAGAGTGTTCTAGAGTATGCAATTGTCTTGATATTTTCGCTTCTTATATCAGAACCATCAGTAATAGTATATTGATCAAAATATGAAAGCTCGACGCCATTTTGGTTTTGATTTCGGCCAAGTCAAAAAATGTCTTGACAATGTCAGGATATTCCTTACGTGTTCACGAGTCATTTGTTGCATTCCCACAACGATGGCTTTAAAACGTGAAACCTTTTCGATTAGTAAAAATGTTTTCTTCCTGGATATGTCGATGTTACATTGGCTTTCATTAGGGTATACTGGATATTAAATTTTATCGAATTATCGATTTCTCTGAATTCCTTAAGAGATTTCACGTCACTTTGATACCTACTGTTTACTCTCGACTCTACTCTATTGCACGTTCATTTATCTGGGATATATGGTGCTTCTTTTGGTATGTAGGTACTGGAGAAACATTACGCTTGGTCACCTGTACACAATGTTCCCTTATAGACCCCGCCGAAGTGCACGTCGAAGAACCACCTGTTCACATTGCGGAGCCTGTTCTTACGCCCATCGGTATGTCAAGAAATTAATTATACAACGCGAATGTTCTAAGTAAAGACCACTAATGCCCCGGGTTTCCCTTCAGATTCTTACCTGTTGCATTCTACAATTTTCCCTGACTTTTATTCCAGATTCTTTTTTCATCTACCTGTGAACGTTTGCATGAGACCTTACTTAAGGGGAGTCGTACCTATTAAATATTAAAAATACACATTTTTCCGATAGTTGCAGAAAAAAAATGAAACGCAGCATTTCAATTCAGTTTAAGTGCGATATTAACCGTACCTTTAGGTATATAATTGATTTAATAACGATTATATTATAATTACTTATCATTTTACATGAAAACCTGTTTTCAAACTTTCAAGGCAGTTTAAAAAAAAGGTGCCTTTTTTTGTGCTTGTAAGATATCTCAAAAAATATTGGTTCCATATAATTCATATTTTACACACATGTTAACTAAAAACGGAATATTCTGAAGTAATCGGTCTGTTTGAAAATTTACGACAAACAAAGACGTACACCAAAGTACGGTACTTTACTATGTATCATAACTCAAACATTTTTTTATATGAAATGATGAATAATTATATCAATACAATCATAAAAGTTTGATTAATAACACGCTTAAACTGCATTTACATGTTGTGTTTATTTCAATTTTTCCCTACATCTATATGAAACGTGTGAACTTTTAACACGATCAATAAGTATGAGCCCCTTAACTTGTTTACGTTTTCTGCTTCCATTAATATCGCATTATATGTATAAAGCGACCCTCATTTCCAGAGTGCCTAAGGCGAAAGGACGAACTCATAAAACAGGCTCTAAACGAAAAACAAGCTTTGGTAGCCGACATTCGACATATTCCTAGAGAAAGCTTCGAGCATGCGACAGAGACGGCATCGGAGCCTTTAAGTGTCGCAAAGGAGCCCACAGAACTGATACTTGCTGCCATTAGTCAAGGTATACGATCTGACGAAAGATTTTAAACATTAGTCGGAATTATCTTTTCCTTTTATATAACGTATTCTAAGCGTACTTTTTTTTCTTTTTCATTCTCAGCTAACCAACTAGTAGGGATGCTAAACACTGCACTGACTGTCACCGAAACTGAGGCTGTGCTCGCTTTACGTGGAGCATCGGCATCAGCAGTTGCCGGTTGCGAGGCAACTGGTTGCCCTGCCCCACGGAGCCACATTTATCCTCAACAACCTGCAGTACCAGTTGTAGCCTTACTACCGTTGTGTACCTCTTTGACGACCCAACTTTCACAACTTTTGGTAAGCACGTCTTGGTATTCTCTAAACGCACGTGGCTCCATTATGCAAAAGAGATAAGGTGTGTTATCGCGCAATCCTTTTGACGGTTCATTTCCAAAACGCAGCGATATTTTCTACCCAACCAACGAAAGTATAGCTCCAAGCACAAAGTAAATTTAGAAGTAAATTTAAAAAAAAAGAATGTTCAAATAGACAACACTTTTCGTCTTTCCATTCGGTTTTACATGATTTTACCGAACACCCAAGTGCTATTCAATTTTGAAAGGGGCAATTAAGAGGGCCCTCCTGTCAAAACGCATAAGTAGTTTTTATAAATCAATAATAAAAAAATAAACAACATGAGGTTATAACTTTTAAATTCACTAATAGTATATGTTTAAATGATAAAAGTAAAGATTTAGTCTAGTTTGATTGACTATAATTGAATTTTTACTGTGGCGCTCGACGAACAAGGCCGTTTTGATAAACTCTTATTTCAAACATTTGTTCATTCTCAGGTTAACCCTACGTATGCAAAACAATAGTAAAGCGTTTTACTTATAATTAATATACCATACAACATCCTTTCCATGAAAGAAATCTTTTTTCATTTTTATTTCGACGAGAGGATCTCTTAATTTATCATGATACTTGTAAACAAACTGTAGTATAGCGACGTTTCAGACGACATACAGGGAATCAAAAATAAAACTTCCGAGAACGCACACGTTGTCTCCCTTTGCATCATGCTTGGCGTTACAGTTTTAGGGTAATGTGAAGTCGATTAGACGTTCGCGATTGATCGAAAACGGTACTTTCACGTTGCCTGAAATAGATCGCGTAAATCATTGCTCGTGCAGTTGGTGGATACCGATATTAAAGGTACTTGAAATATGCAGGAAATAGTTAAAGAAAGAGAAGACGAACGGGAGAGGTTACGGAACGAACTGCGAAGGAGCAGAGAGCGACTGCATGCCATAGACACGGAGACGCAGCGCCGCGAATGTCATCATACCTCCACTAGCACCAGTCAAACGCAAACGGAACCCGGTTGGTGATTACTTATCTTATTCTTTTAGGTAAAAGAAAGGTCAGGGTGTCCAGAAAATGTACGCGAAGAAATAATGCAATCGTACAAATGGGTATAACATGCAGGAAAAGCTGTTCTGGTACTGGAAACGCCGAAGTGCAGAAGTTTATATGAAAAGAAAAGTCGGCGGGATTCAAGCTTTCACCTAAACCGCCAATTTTATATAGAATGCGTCTTTCAAAACTTCGTTTCATTTTGAGCGTACCAGAATCTTTCACTAACTCCTGTTTTTTTTTTTTTTTTTCAAGTTTTCGACAATTTCGTGTATCACTCTTCTCCAGCAGTTGGCTTGGGCATTTTTAAATATGGAGAGTACCATTGCAAAAACTTGTTTAATACGTTCTTTCTCTCAGAGAGGTAGCAGGATGTTATTTTTCTGATTGTAGATCGTGCTACTCGAATTTTAGGGGGGAGAAGGTATTTACGATGTCGACTACATGGAAAATCAAGCTATAATTTTAAATGACGCTGTTTCATCGATCCTACATTTTTCTTTTAATTTCTTTTATTCGACACTTTTTCTCTTTCGGAAGAATTATGTTCCATTTTTGTGATGCAATAAGGTGAGCTACACTCAGGGTGTATGTGTGATAGATTTTTGTCACGTACGGCCCCCATTTGTACGTTGGCGGACGTGAATGACTTCCCATCGTGCCCTGCCCTAGTTACAGAGAAAGCATACATATCCATCACTGTGCATTGTGCACTGTACATTCGTGAAAGACGTATTCTACCTCTAAATTCTTAGACACCCTGATTGACGATGTTCATGAAACGAACTGCGGAATTTTCCTGGCACGATAAGTAGCACTTTCGATTGATTTCTTAGGTGAACTTTCGCAGATGGACGTTTCGGATGATTCCCCACGAGACGTAAGCACCCAATTTTCATGATATTCAAAGCTGCGATCCCGAAGGACTTCAACGGCTGATAATGGAATTTGTATTGACAGGAATTTGTGGACGCCCGCGGTGGTCCGGAATCATCCACGGAAGCAGATAACACCGACGTTGAAATGGAAACAAAAGTTGTCGGGGACAGTGTAGGTTGATACGGTTAGATGTCATCGGTAATCGTTTGTCGTAATCTGGTGCATTTCAAGAGCTTTTATCCGCTTCGGCGGGTGCTCGTGCTGGAGGAAATCAAAATTATGTAAAGAGTGACAGATGGCTAGCAGCTGTTAACCGAATGTAACAATGTTAGATACCTATTTACGAAATCATGGGTCTAAGTTTAATAACGCCTTCGCCAAAGATTTTATGTAAATAGATTACTAGCGAATTGAAGCGGTTACAGTGTAGCGCCAAATTATAAAATTACAATGGCCATGCGTAATATTTTGGACGTTACATGTTGTTTTATGCGGACCTGCTAGTATGAACGAGGCACTAAACTTCGTCATTGTAACCAAAACTATAGTATCTATACAAAACGGCGTAAAATGATGAACTATTGCTGGGAAAAGGAGATGACGTCATTCCTCGAAAACGCACGTTAACTTGATTCAAACCAAGCATCACATTCGTATAACGAGAGGCATGGTTATTTATTACGAAATCTTTTACAATACTGGAAATCTCACATTACCAACAAGTTTTAATATTAAGAGATTTATTCTTTCTCAATGTGAAACAGAGTACAGTTGATTGTTCACTTTACATGAAATTAGTGTACGCGCTTTTGCAGTATTTAGATACCGACTGTGTTCAGCATGTAAAAGTATATAAAAAATATTGTAATATGCGGCGTTGCTTCTCACTCGTATTTACTTAAGCATTTGTAATTGTAATTGAAAGGTTCAATTTTATGTCCAAAAGCTACAATATATAACAGGTGTATCGTTTGCTGTAAGACCGTTGACGATGAGTAATACTGGGTTGATAAATTTTGCGTTTGCTCCCCAAAATAATTGGGTTTATGATCATTGATAACGCGTATCTAGGAAAGAGCCTTCGTTAATGTCAAGTATCATTCTTCGCATAACAACTTCCAGATAATTCAACAGCTACAATTATTGTTTTGTTAACTATCCCACTATTGCTTGAATATTGCAAAGGCTTAATTTATGTACTTAATTTATATGTAGGTCGCAACGTATGAGCATACACCTAAATTTACCGATATCAAATAATATCCCTCGTAATGCGAATCTACAATAAATTCAAAGGCAGTAGGTTTAAGAAGTATAGTTAATGTGATTGAACTTTTTAGTTGCGCATGTCGGTGCTACATCGGATGACTTGAAGGCGTAATGTCTCATAAATAGACAGAGCTTAATATCAAGCATAGCCTAACAATAACTGCAAACCATTCATGGTATCTAATGAAAGTCTACGTTTCACATTGTCTACGTTTAAGTCCTACATGTGAACTAGCTACGAGCGAAATTGGTCGAAAATCAGTTTTCTAGTGAGTTATTCTCACTATTTTTTACATGAGAGTGTACGACTGTTAATCATAAGAAAAACATCAGCATAAAGGTTGCCTAATAATGCGAATAACGTGAGTCATCGTTAAATAACTTCACCGGAATACTTCCAGCTAGCCTTGTTCAGAAATTGGATCGACGGATAGCTACTTCTGACCGATTAAATTCCTGAACGAGCAGAAGCAAAGTATTTTAGCTCTCAGTACTTTTATAAGTCATTGATTATTTAATTAAAAGCCGTAACTTCACTTCAAGAACGCCGCAAGTGGGCATAAGAAACATGAATTGTTTATTGCTACACAAACCCAGGAAAAGACTCGTCTACTTACATAAAATCTTTGCAACTATTAATGACTAATAATTGTCTACTTAATAATTACATACAAACCAATATTATAAATACATTATTATGTACATGTATAAAATATTTAATAACATTATTAGTTACTTTAATGATTATTATTACATTAAAATACTTATTAAATCCCAGTTATTCTGCTTTTCTTCCGAAATATTCCCTACCTCTTAATGAAATAAGACCACAAGTAAGCAACATAAAACAGTGGCCTCATCATTTCTTGCAGAAATATATCCTTCTTTTAAGGTACCCAAGTTCTTTTGCCTAACTTTGATGATACTTTTATATTGAAAGATATCAAAGATCCCGATTAAATAGCTTAGTTTTTTTTTACTTTTATTACTACAAAACAATAAATATTAATAATACCTGATCTTTTAATATACGACTTGTATAATTAATCATTATATAGTTATATCAGGTTAGATGCAGTAGTTGTTATAGTTTCCTGATGAAAATGATACCAGGCTGTATAATACCGCATAATTCCATAGTACAAACATTTTACTTTGTATTTAAGATTTTAAAATGCAAGAAAAAAATGGTTATACTTCAAACATGAAGAAATCGGCTCTATCACTTTTCGTCGAACCACGCGCGACAAAATTAGGCCTAAGAGACGTAAAAGAAATGCGTGAAGGAAGGTAAGAAGAATGTCAAACAAACGTGAACCGAACGTCAAAGAAATACAACTGTAGATATAAAAATCGACGTAACATTAACGTACTTCATACCTACGTCGAAATTGCGTTATCTCTAAGGATTAACTACACGCGGAGAGCGAAAAGATCATAAATCTCAAGTAGTATTCAAAGCTTTATACTTGTACTTATTTTTATTATATTTATTACCTTTATTTTATACCCTATAATAATGCTTATACTTAAGACTTGGAGTACTTGCTAAGAATTAATTAAGATTCCCAAAAATGTACAAATATTCCTGAATATTTCTTAATTTTTAAAATTGACGCCCGACCATAGATGAGTTGATCAACCATGATCGCGTGATCGCGTTCGGTACTACGCTCATCTCTGGTACTACTCTCGGTGGAGAATGCAGGTGACTAACGCACTTGCCCTCAACGACGGCCCAACTCAGGGATCCAACTCAACTCTGCTCCCAATTTATTGCAATTTATCTCTCAGAGCTTGATCGTGGAAATTTACCGAATCACGGCGCTTAGAAAAGTTCCTTTACAAAAATGGAATTTTACGGTTATCAAGCCCTTTCTCAGGATATTTATCCTCACGTTATAAAACAAAGATGAGTTGGGAGCAACTGGCGACAGAGATGAGTTGGGAGATTGCTCACGTGCAGGGTCGCGCGATCGCACCGTGTGCTGCCCTTTGATTTCGTACGTTAGCTTTCGTGGTTTTTTGTCCCCAAGGGCGGCGCAACGAATTTCTGGTAGGAGCTCGCGCAATCGCGATGGCTGTGCCATCTACCAGTTGCCGTTGACGGCTCACGTATTCGTGATGGTA